CTGTCTGTCTGTCTGTCTGTCTGTCTGTCTGTCTGTCTGTCTGTCTGTCTGTCTGTCTGTCTGTCTGTCTGTCTGTCTGTCCTGAAAATGGAGCTTGGTCGTCATCGCTGGGCCAGCCACGAGAAGCTCCGGCATTGTCTTCCGCCCGTCCGAGGATGGACGGGGGCCGAACGGATGGCTGGAGGGCTGTGAAATAGATGCAGGTTGTGACTTTAAGATGATACATGCTTAACCTTCGCCGATCCAGAATGCGAACAAAAGACATGAGCGAAGCTCGCGAGAACGCCTGAGGGTATGTTGTTGCGTCGGCCGCGAAAACGCTCATGCTAGAGCTAGACTTGGATAGAAACGTGAGCTTATTGATGCCGCCCGTTCTGAGGCGAATCTAGATTGCTCTCCCGGACAGGATAAATTGCTTGTTACTTGCCCAAGTGGTGCTTGTGAAAAAAGGTGCAGACCTCGCGACATCTTATACCCTTGTACAAGGGCTCAAGTTGATTCTGCGACTCCTAACCATTCCAGAGATATACACAAAATGGGATTGGCAATAGTGGCATGGCGACAACAAGGTCGACAGGGGCGATGAAGTGGATTTTGGTGAGTTGGCGGCTTTCTTGCCCGCGAAGATTTGGTTCGAACGGGAAACAGCTGACAACACCGACAGTGGGAGGGCGTCACTTCGTGTGCAGGGCACAACAGCAGGCCTGTCGTCTCCTACCCAGTCAATCCTGCTGGCCCAGTCCAGTCTAACCGGGGCTGAGCAGGTCAAGCTTGTTTCAGCGGCTCCAAAGTCGTCCTATTGGCCAGGCACTCAGGTCCTACATTGAGGAAAAGTTCGACGAAGTTGGGGGCTAAAGAGTAGACTTCTGTCCAGCGCCTTCACAAGCGCGCCTGCTGGCCTCCAGAGCCCAAAACCGTTGGGACGGTTCCCCTTCCCGTAACGGGAGTCCGGCGCAGACCACGACGCCTTCTCGACCGTCCCCGCTCCCTTCTTACGGCACGCACATGACAGCTGCACATCACGGCAGATTTATGCATACAAATTCAAGTGCAAAAATAGTATTGCAGCAATGTAAAAAGCCCTTTTCGCGTCAACCTCACCAACAAGTATAATGGCCGATCGGCGCTCGCAGAGACCCGTATAGGACTCAATGTGGGGCGACTTGGTCCCCTCGCCATGATGCCGCGTTGTGGGAAGCGAGAAGATCCGGCTTTTAGACCATGTGCTAGATGCAGACAGACACCAGTCATCGTCGCATTGAGATGGATGACCCACCCAGCCAGCCAGCCAGCCCTGTCGTTGGGCGCCGTATTGTTGACCACGGAATTGATGACCACGGAATTGGGTCAGGGGTTCTCGTATAGGGCTCCTGAGCTGGGGCCACCCGCCGATCGGAAGCAGGTCCGGCAGGGATGAACCGTCGCTAGCGCGAGTTTGGGACTAAGAACGCCGCGCTAAAAGCGGCACCTAAGATGGTATTCCCATGCTTCTAGAAGCTGTATCGCGCGTATCTTTCGCAGAATATAGCGAACCCCTAGGCATCGTGCTGACAAGACAATGGTTGCTAAGACTCACCGTCTCTTGGGCCTCTTACCCTGGACCTCAGTCAAAACCGCTCACACGTATCCCAGCATGTGAACGGGGCCGGCGGAAGTGCAGTCGAAGCAAGTTCTGTTCACGGCCAGCCACGTCAACAGGGCTTCTGGACAGCATACAGTCCATGCCATTGTATTGTGGCAGCGACTTTAGATAGCGAGAGGCAAGCCTTGTGCAGTATATGCTTAAGACGTGGTACTCACTCAGGTACGGTCTACCACCAGCATCAGCTTCGCACATCGCTTGGAGAGTTTTATTGATATAAATCCCTCTCGCGTACACGGTTCTCTCATCTTCTATTCAACTGAATTCCCCGTCCTCCTCTTCTCTCCCGAAGTCCCGGAGCTTGAAGCGTGTTTCAGCAAACAATATGCCCATCGAAGATCCTGCCCAGGGCCCTGGCCCTGCCTCGCCCTCTGTACCCCAAGCCACTAGCGGCCACTGGCTATACAATATTACTCTGTCCGACGAAACGAAGAACATGATCTCCGGCTTGTATGATAGTGCCCTCGCTCTGTATGGGTACATCACTAGTCTTGCTCTCAGGATTGGGACTCGACGGGAGGTATGTACTGCCCGCCGCACCTAACCACGAAGAAGCCAGTATTCACTGACATCCTCCCCAGCGGGAGGAACGCGTCAACAATAACAGCACGACTCCATTGATGGCGATGCTCATTATCGGGGCCCTGATCCTCATCGTGGTGCCAGGTCTCGTTCTAGGTTTCGCAACGGGGCAGGTACAGTGGGGAATCGCACTCTCTGGCGCTATCAGTACGGTTGTCGGTGTCTTCGCAGGTCTTTGCTATCACCTCACCACGCGCAACTGACGGAAGTCTTGGGTAGCAAGCCGGGGGGTCTGCTGGTGTGGTCTTTGGCGGGTCATCTGTCGTCAACAGGCCCCATTGTCCTTCCATTCCTGATCTCGGCTTGTAAACCTTGTTCAGAGACCAATGTATACTTCCTACAGTTTTTCTGGTCAGCATATGTTCACAAGCGATGGAAGCATTCATTTATAGAAATATACCTACATACCCCCTCTACCATATCATCTCAGTGAAGTTTTTCATCATGGAACTGTTGCAAATATGCTGCAATTTCGCAGCGAAGAATTACTCGCTGATTTTATTGGCCATATAGACATAGACACCATAGCTCCCATGCTCACTGTCAAACATGAAGCTAGAGTAGAGTGGTCAGTAGTATTGTCGATAGTAAAGTGCAGATATGTCTTGAGTTTTCATCTTAGGAGTAAGGGTTAATGATTCTTCTTAAACAGGTGTAGTTAAGTGACTGATAAGCTTATTATGTACGGGATGAAGTTTCAATCCAATTTGAAAGCGGTTGTTATAGGGGTCGTGGATGAAGGGACCAGATGATTTTTAATAATATTTGCAGGTCTGCAGGCTGAGCCCCGAGGTTGCACCGCGCACTTCCGTGCGCCGGAAAGCCTTGAAATGGCTTGAAGTACTGAGGTGGCCCCCATCTCGATGTGCGTCCAACAGCCCAACTCTCCATCTGGCTTCTTATACCACGCCACCCCCCCCCCATCCCCCTCCAAAAACCCCAAAAGTGCCATTCCTGACTTGCGAAGTGATTGATTCACGCGTGTCTCGGAGCTTCCCAGGCTCAGCCATTCGTTCCAAAAGCTCCGGCCCCACGATTCTATCACAGCAGCAAGTTCCATGCCAGGCAAGCGTCGAACGGCAACAATACCACATTTTCGGTGGCAGAGGCAAGTGTGCCCGCCCTCAAAAAGGCAAAACGAAAGATGAGGTTCAATCTCAGGCATAAGACGTCACAATACGCGTAAGTAATGGTTGGTTCACTTCTTCGTTGGCACCAGTGCAGCATGATATCCAGCACAACTGGTGGACGTGAATGAGACGGGCGTTGAATTTGCTGACACCGACTGACACAGTGTTGATCCACCATGTGCCTGCAGGTACTGACGCGGGGAACGTGGATGGACAATTCTGCCTTGCAAGAGTAAAAGAAAAATTTGACATAAGAAAGAGTACGGAAATTGAAAGAATTCAACTGCTCACATCCTTATGCCGCGCAAGGGCGCTCGTGTTCGGGTTTATTTCGTGTCGGTCAAATAACGGATGCATGCATGGAGCGAGACATCGTACCCCAGACCAGTTGGTCTGTCTGTGCCTTGACAGACATGGCATGTGAGTACTTATACATTCCGAGCAGCCGAGAGCATTTGGGCATTCTCTGGGCCGGATCAGGGACTGCAATCCGAGACAGGACCTGTGCATGCCCGTGGCAGGCTCCCGTCATTTCTGTCAAAAGCAAACAGGAAAGGTAGTCAAATGTAGCGTTGAGGGTCTGTAGACCGTTGAGGACCTGTCAGACGACGAAAGCAGACGATCTGGGACAGGGCTGATGCAATTATATCGGAGCTGGTGTCATTGGCCGGGCTCAAGTCATGAGTTTCCCGGCCTGACTGACGACCAGTAATGGCTTCCTGCGCAGGAAAGTTTGCTTTGATGCAAAGGCTTGTTGATTTTTTCTGCGGGGCTCGCGTTGATTGGGCTATAACTTATTTCTTGTCGCATGCACGCAAGTATATAAATAACTTACCTGCATGCACCTTGGACGGGCCAACGCCAATCTCCGTCCGAGTTAGCAATAAGTATTGTGACGGCACAGCTATATAGGACTGGACTGTATTCCAGAAGGCGTTCTGGAATTTTGGAATTTTGGTTCTTTGCTATAGTGCAGCGGTATAGAATGTCTCAAGTATTGGCTTACACCAGGTATATGGCACCGCCGTGCCTGACCCGCCTAGGTCAACATCTTTTGAAATATTTCCTGTCCATGTGCATAGATTAGCAGGAGACGTTTGTTTACGCATCTCCTTTACCCTCCGGCTAAGCCCACCGAATGCAAGGGCATTAGAACTCAGGTCCACTACTACCAAAACTGAATAAACTTATCTAGATTCAATCTACTACTACAATTACAGGCATAGCAGTCAATGTCATCACCATAAAGAAGAGAGTAGAGTTTCCATTTCCCACCTTTCCAACATCTAATAACAGTAATAAGTACAACAAGAAAAAAAGGGCAATACGCAATATAGCGGAGGCATTAGCGGCGATAATAGCTATGAGAGCTGCAGGAAGAATGTACAGGATAAGGTATAAAGACTTCAATAGCAGAGGAATAGTATAAGTAAGTGTAATTCGCTCATATCTGTCCCTTCATGAGTATAAATATGCTGGTTCCTGCATTAGCAAAGTTCATATAGCGACTGGCCTGTCTGGGTTTGCCTTTGGCTGCTACACCAGTCGGACAAATCCGTGTGTGGGCCAAGCGTCCTGGCCATCATTTGGCCCAGCTCGAACACGATATAATTTGTAAGTTCCTCAGGATTTCTTCTTGCTTAGTTTGTACCAAGCCGAAGGCTAGATCCGGGTTCCTGGTTCCTGACGTTGGCTGGGGTCTCCCCCCTGATCAGCAATGGTACCCTTTCCTTATTTCTTGGCTTATGCAACGAATGGTCGTGGCCACGAAACGGAAACTGACCAGGAAACCAATGAAAAGATAGCGACGACTAAGGGTCTGTTGCTCTCGTGCATTGTTGCCTGCATCGATGTCAAGATTGTTTCTCAGCTTTCCGAGTGGACGGTGCAGCACAGAAGGTCGAATTCAGTAGCAGTCGGATGTGTATCATACAAATAGCATTGTGATTGGTACGTTTGAGAACAAACAGAGTGAATTGATCAAGTCACCAATCGATAGCTATATTTATAGCCTCGTGTTGAAGCGTTCAGCAAGATTATGAATGTAGAGCGCACTTCACAGCCGAAAACACTTTTGTTTCTCTGGAAAGCTGCGACAATGCCATATGAGAGACTAGTATATCCAAATTTCCATGCTTACGATGAACGATGCTATGTGTCAAAGTTGCAGAAGATCAGAGGGAAGAACATAACACGTAATGGGAAGAATATTTTATGAACCATCAGTCCATTTGCACTAACCGGACCCCTTCCAGCCCGGAACATGTTTCTGAACCCTTGATCTATAATCCTTTCCGTAATACCGAAGCACAGAGACCAGCGACCCAACCCTCTGGGCAACCAAGTAGGAAAGAGACCAGCAGAAAAGACAAGACATACGTATATCGATTCGTACCCAGCAAATTATTGAGAAGCATCAAACATTCGCACCCTCTCTACTGTCAATCCTTTGCGAGGCTGCAGAGACCGCACGCGCATCCTTCTGAGGAGTAGTCCCAGCCAGACAAGACTGGATAAATGCATCGCTCTAAGGAGGCACCAGCCGGGTTGCGAGTTAGCGCTTCATCATGCCCTGCTCTGAACGCATGATTCTAACATCGGAAAGGAAACGAGCAAGACAGCATACCAGCCTGGCAGACAGACCAACAGGGATGAAAACGTATGATCGAACTCAATTGCCACTTACATGTAAATCAGCACAAGGATCCACGTCGCAAAGACCATCCAGCACTGCGTCAGCTCGGGGTACCGTCGGCACGTAGGGATGTACGAGGTCCGGTCCAGCGCGTAGTACCGAGCCTGCAGGCCGGCGCAGGTGGCCCAGACGGCGAGGCTGACCAGGGCCCAGGGGACGAAGTATGTCAGGAGGCGGTGGCGGGCGACAGCGAATTCCTGCTCGTTTCTGGAGGGGGCCTTGGGGCTGATGCCGAGGGAAGTCATGAGGGCTAGGGTGATGGAGGCGACTAGACTGACGGAGGCCTGACGAGAACATGCGTTGTTAATATTAATTGATGATTGGAAGAATCAGGGGGATGGTTTGTCAGATGAAACAGAAAGGATAGGCTGGAAAATGACGTTCAATACATGATAGAATAATCTTGGCCTTATTTTTTCTTCCCTCTCTTTACTTTCCTCTTCGAATTGTTATATGAGGGGAGGATAGGCTACCAAAGAAAAGGATCAAGAAAACCCTTTGTTAACAAAAGATCAGCAACTTCCACACATACCCATGCGACAATCAACCGCTGCACATGCAGAGCAAGAGTCGGAAACTTGATTACGATTGGGTCCTCGTCCTCGCTGTAGGACCCGGTCAGGGCGAGGATGGACACGATCATGGTGCCAATATCGATGCACAGCATGGTGATGTAGAAGACGGCAGCCCCCTGCAGGAGAGGGCGCAACCGGGGTGGGACGCTGCGCCAGAATGCTTCCGCAACGGCCGGGTCGCCATATTCCGACATCTAGGAAAAAAGTATGCAAGAAAGAGTCAAATCGGAAATTCAGGGTAGCAGATCAATGGTGAAGGCCTTGAAGTTGAGTCGCGTTGTGCTGGTTTCACCACCATTAAAGTTCGTCTGCACTTCTCTTGACTAACTTAGTCGAGAGTTTTGTAGAATCCGAAGTTAAGACTACATTTACTCAGAAGCGGTATACTAACTTCAATCAAAGGGCGAAACCCCCTCTTGTAGTAAACCCCTTGAAAATGAAGCGCTTGCTCACAGCTCAGCCGTTTCTTGGCTCACCGACGCACTAGACCTGATTCCCCCTAAGCTGCCCCATTGTGGCTTTTTCTCCTACAACATTCAGCGAATTCGGAGGCAGGCGGGCAGGCAGTGCCAGGCAGATTTCCTAACATGGTGATGGTCGGTCACCCGGAACAAACCGCCTTGCTCTCTAGGCATTGAAGGGCAGCCCCATATGAGAAGATCCTCTTGAACAAAGAAGGCTGGCTCACGCAAAAGATCGGCACGTGGGCATAGCAGCATGCATTTCTGTTTGGTGGCTATTTGTGGGCCTTTTGCAGGGAGGACAGACGGGGAGGGAGACTCCAGGGATGGGCATCTGAACTCTGAGTCCTATTATAACTGGGGTTTTAAAGCAGAGGAATCCATGCTGCCGGGCCGAGCATCACTCGCAGCATCATCGGCGGCCGCCAGAGCAGCTGCGATAGCACCATCAAAGGCATTTTTCCAACGGTGGGCGAAAACCTCGTCGGGCAGAGCCGAATAGGAGCTGCGACTAGGGTTCTCGGCATGGATCAAGGCCAAGCTCTCAGCCATGGTGACAGCAGCGACAAAGGCAGGGTAGGAGCGTCAGGTAGAGACACTTGTGGCGATGGTGCGAAGGATACGGGCGGCGACCATCTCTCGATCATCTTCGCAAATAGCTGAGATCAGTCCGAGGCCGACATTCCGAGCGGCAGCCTGGCAAGCTTCCAGCAGCGTGCCGGTGGGTGGAGGCGGAGGCGGGATGATTGCATCCTCCGCCCTGTTTGTGAATGGAGATGGCGGGTTCCGGGCGCGAAGGGTGTCGAGGGTTTCTGTGCTTGCTGGAGGTGGCCTGGGGTATGGCGGTGGGAGAGCATCCCTTCTGTTGTACGAGTTGCGCCGTGCAAGTTGGATTCTTTCGGCGTGTGCAGCTCTTTCAGCCCGCGCTGTCCTGCTGTTGACCTTCAGCTTGCGTCGCAGCCAAGCTCCGAGCCAGCACATCGGGCACGCCATTTGAGTCGAGGCTGAGGTGGGCCGGGCTTCAGGGAGTTATGTATGGATTTCTTGCGAGAGTTTCGAGAGTAAGCAGAGGTAATGGAACGTGATGGGACAGGTCGTGGCTGGAATGTGGGCAGGAAAGAGTAATCAGGTCGGGGCCTTTGTCGACGGCAGCTTGTTAGGTGGAGTGGAAAGATGATGAACACTGTTGAGCGTCTTGGAGCGAGTTGAGCTGGATTGACCAACGTTGTGTGTGTGAATTCGTTGTTGTTTGTTGATGACAGAATGGAGGGGAGGAGAGCGAGAGCGAGTTTGGGACCAAGGGAGGCAAAGTGATGTTCTGAGTACATCCTTCCATTTTATCATCAGAGTACCAGGCAGGCAGGTGCAGCAATTCTGGACAATATCAGTGGCACCATCAGGCTCCTTCCTGCCCATGAATTTCAACACCAGGCCTTCAGGCACCTCGACGGTCCTGCACTTGCAGTCTCTAGCATGTACCTGGCTGGACACCAGCGCAAGCACAACCGCAACTACCTAACCTAGGTAGGTACCTAGGTAGTTAGTTGCGTGCCCTTCGATTCCATGTGGCACTGCCTGCGATATGGCACTTGAGGTAGGGCAGACCCTCCTCACAGTCTCATCCGCAGCCTTAGGGAACTCCGCAGTAGCCAATCCGTCTGGGTCATGCTAGCGCAATTTTGAATATGCTATATGCAGCAGTGAATGTACATGCAGGCGTAAATTTCGACGGATCTGTTTGTGGTCCTTTGTAAGAGATGATCTTGTATCGCATCGTTTGACTGTATGTGTTCATTCATTAGACCTGAGGAGACTAGGGACATACTTGGTAATTGAATCGTGTAATTTACACCACATCCACATCACGATTCTCTCATTTCATTCACCACTTCCTCAATCAACTCTCACGTTTTACCAGGCTGCCACGAGCACATAAGTACACGTCTACTGACCTTGGTGTGCGCGCGTCACGGAGGAACGTCGTTCTCAAAGAGTCGGAACCTATTCGGCGGCTCTGGCTTACACCAGTTCTGTACATGAAAAATCGACTCCCACCAGAATTGCAGTGACTAGGTCGAAATGATGCTCGTTGGTAGATAAAGGCGCCTTTCACTTGATCTTTTTCTCCGCCAGCAAAGTAGTACAAATGCCATCAGATTCACTCGTTCTTTCACAAGCTTCCCTTTAGTATGGCTTTCTCCAATTTCCCTGCTAACGATGATTGACTTCTCCCGGTGAGGGACTCGTGAGGACTGAGATGACATCCAAAGTCTCGCTGCCGCTGTGGCTTGCGTCCGCCCTGCCATTCGTAGAGCTGCAAAGCTGGAAGAATGAATATCCACCCCAGTCCCTCAAAGTAGTATTGTTGTTTCGCAGTTACTACCAGTCCTTCTGCTTCTGAATCATTTTGGGCAAGGATAATTGTTTTCCCTTCTGACCTGCCTTTATAGGCCTTTTCCTAATAATACGCTTACGCGTTCCCTGGATTAAATTTCCGCGTATTTCTTTCATAGCATAGCGCTCTACTGATCATCATACTCTATCAGAACCTCTATCGGTGCGACATACAGAGAACGGCATCTCTATATATACGTGGGTCTCGGGTCCCCAGCTTCTCACCAACATGTCTGGACTTCTCAGCAAGAAGTGACTGGCCTGAGTAATATTTACGATCATGGTTTCGTTATCAATGTTCCACGTTTTATCGGGGCTCTGCCTCTTAGCCACTTCGCGGGGAGCCTTGGTTCAGGTCACCAACTTTGGAAGCAACCCATCCGGGCTCGAAATGTACATTGACCTGCCTGAGAACGTCACTACAAATGCTCCCGTTATCCTCGCCGTAAGTCCCCCGTTCTTCTTTTTGTTGGTACCTGGGGTACTTCAAGCCCGTTGCTAACCTTGGCTCATGTCTTAGCTCCACGGCTGTGGTGGTTCGGCGCAGAGATACTACGGGCAGAACAACCTGGCCGCGGTGGGCAAGTCGAGAGGCGCCATCATGATATACCCATCTGCCACGGACAGCACACATTGCTGGGATGCTGGCACACCAGAGAGTCTTACCCGTGATGGCGGGGGTGACACGCAAAGTCTCGTGCAGATGGTACGTCCTCACGTATTCCCAGGCTCTCTCCTACACGTCCTTTCCGTACTCACAAATGCGTTATCCAGGTCCAGTATATCATCGAAGAGTACAGCGCAGACCCGACCAAAGTCTTTGCCGTAGGGCGGTCATCAGGAGCCATGATGAGCAATGCTCTTGCGGCCGTCTACCCGGATGTCTTCGCTGCGACATCGGTCTACTCAGGCGTCGCTGCCGGCTGCATGGCCGTACCAGAGGGCGTGCCTGCGAACCCGATGGAAACGTGCGCCAAGGGCAACATTACCAAGGCCCCCCAGCAATGGGACGAGATTGTCCGGTCGTACAATCCTGGCTACAAGGGGCCTTATCCGCGCATGCAGATCTGGCATGGCACATCTGATGTTGTCGTCGTGTACCACAACTTTGCGGAGGAGCTCAAGGAGTGGTCCGCTGTTCTGGGCGTTCCTTTCACTCGTAACGTTACCAGCACTCCTGAGGCCAATTACACGCAGATGATATATGGAGACGGAACTCGCTTGGTCGGATACAGTGCACTGGGCGTTGGTCATGTCGTGCCGGAGCATGAGTATGATGCCATGGCCTGGTTTGGTATTTGATGCAGCAGATCCTGGGGTCAGAAGTTTGTTTCATGGTAAAGGGTCTTCTGAGTTCTTTTCCTAAGTGGCAACGTTTTCTACGAATCACTCTAATTTGACTACTATACATTGTTGAGTCCTGGTAAAGCGCCAGCGATGTGTGATTTTGGGCCAGCATAGACCTGACCACGTCATCATATCGAAAACATAGTGAAGAGTGAATTGACTTTGTGTGTTAAGCGTAGCTTAAATTACCATATCGTAAACTCCACATATGAATTAAGTCTTCTTCTTCTAAGTGTGGTACAAACATATTGGCTGTTACAGGCTCAAATGTTGGATTGAGTAATTTGTGGGATGATATCTCAAACAAGAACGAAAATCATGCTCCTCTTATGGTAGGATCCGTCTTTACCAGTAGTGTGTAATCCTGCATGACAATATTATGTATTCGAAAGCGATAACAATACAAGTAGAGAACTCACTGAATACCGGACAAAATATAGAGGCCTGTCTAAGCTCACCACACGGCAGTATCAAAATACAGGCGGGTGCATACGATTTCAAGGTAAGATTACAATATTGCTGGAAGAAAAATCAAAACCAATAGAAAAGTTAAAATCTTCTACAACACACAAGTTTTCCCTAAAAATTGTTTTCTGCATAAATTTATTGAATTATCCACGGGTCCAGTCTCTAGCTCCCAGTTAGGCTGTCAAGGTGACCGATTTGCTGCCTTACATTAAACTGTCTTTTGATTCAAGTTCCGCGGCTCTTACTTTGCTGGGATAATCTATTGGGAGCAAATATCGGACCAAGAAAACTCATCCGAGACAATTATTGGTTTCCGTGAGAGATATAGATTTGTTGCTCTTAGATATACGACTCATTGTTGGACTAAGAGGCTGAAACACTTCTCGACAAAATCAGGCTGTCAGGCTTGGCTTCCAAAACATCGCCCTTCCAGGTATCCGCTTCCGGAAGTAATCGGGTATCCGACGGACCAGACATGACATGAAATCTCATAGGGCAACAAGCTATAGCATAATCTGCCATATTATATCCAGAAAATGGGATCACCTTCCACAGGTTACCCTTCTGGGCCCTGTCAAACGGCTCTAGTTTGGCAATCGTTTGGTCTCATAGTTGCTCTGAAAGTCACTCAGCCGCCTCAGCACCGAGTTCTCATTTTCTGTGTTCCATTATACATCGTGATGCCCGAATTATTCTTGTTTTGTACACGCAGTCTAGGCATAGAATCGACGCAAGGGGTCGAATCGCTGAGAACACAAGGCGTTCGCTAGGGTGGGCTGTCAAAGTCGGCAATGCATCGCAGGGGGAACTCCTACGAGCTGTCCAATTATTCATAACACGAGACTCATAATATCTTGTGGGATAAACCCCCGTGGAATAACCTCCTGTGGGATAACCTCCGATAGAACAACCTTTTATAAAATAAACTTCCAGAAAGTCATTACCTTTAGGATAAACTGGTATTTGGATGCAAGCAATAGGGAGCTCTTCAATGATGTGTTGTCATTTTTGGGAGTGTGGCGGTGTATGTGATGAACAAAGCAGCTCAACAGTGCATTGTCACATGCCAGTACAGCCAGATCGATATTCAAAGCTGTTGGCTCGTTAACTGGGCTTCGAAATCCAACTTGTCTCGATTGTCAGTTCTCAGTTGCAGGTCGATAATGATCATATCACGGCTCTGTTTCCACTTCTCTGATACTGTCAGCAAGATTTGCTCCTCCAGTGCGACTGAGAGCTTCTTTGTTCCTTGGTATTGGGATGACATGAATTCCACATATCCCATTCGTAATAATATTTAGAGAATAAAATCCCTGGTGAATTATTCACTCCCGAAGGAAACAATGGGGCTCTCGCTCATGGTCCTGTCGATGGGTGTCACGTGCCGTCATGACTAAAACGTACAGTACGAAGTCCGGATCGGGTCACTCTAGCACTGTCGGCCCCACCAGAGCTCTCACTACATCTTCAATTGACAGCGCCAACGTTGTCCAGCTTGACAACGAAGCAACGCGGTCATGGCCTCCTTTCCCAACGTCTACACACACCGTAAGGTGGCTGAAACAGCATCGAAACGATGTGAGATCTGCTTCAAGCCAAGCACGAGCGTGCTTGTGACTCCAGACAAGCAGGTTCGTCTCATCTTCAGCCCGCAGCCTCTCATCCACTTGTATTTCAAGTCTGTCGCTCGTCGCCCTGCTGCAGAGCGCGGCTCGTATGGTCAGTATGTCCTTATTCCTGACTTGGCCCCGTAACAGGACTTCTTCTTTGTTTGCCCGAGTCACCTGAAGGACCGTGGGTTCTGCTCGCCCATCATCGATCAGGCCGCAATCGATGCCAAGAAGAAGAAGGACATGGAAGCGGAGGTTGAGAAAGTAAGGAAGGAGTACGAAGAACGTCAGCGAAAGAAGAAGGAGGAGAGTGAGAAGTCCAAAGAAAAGGATAAGGACAAGGACAAGGACAAGGATAAGGATGGGAACGACAAGAAGGCTGATGACAAGAAAACCGACGAGTCCAAGGACGTGAAGGTACGATATCCGTACCACTAGGCTCCAGCGGTTTAGACACCATGCCAAAACTAACCATGCCTTCACAGAATGACGAGGAGAAACCACAAGAGGAAGAGGAAGAGCCTCGCGTCTTTGCCCTGCACAGGTCTGACAAACCTTCCTTCCAGGTGGCCGTCAGGCATTCACAAGGGGTAGATCTGATACGTTTGCAGAACTTTCCACCAGAATCGAGTTTACCAGAAACGCCAGGCTGAGATGGCCAAACGGAATCGTGAACGGATACAGAGCCCAAACTTCTTCCCGTCCGTGCCCAAGGGAAATCCTTGACAGAGTAATGTACCCATTCCTGTGGCTGGAGGCGGTCTGGCGGTTTGTAAGCTGATGTGGAGGTTGTCTCGCTGGTTGGGCATTTCGGGAGCTGTTGGGGTCAGCGCCGAAGGATATGTCCCGGATGGGCAATGGCTAGAGTGGCGTTGAGGTGCAGTCGGCAGATGTGAGATTTAGGGAATCAAACATGGTTCACATCGATAATACAAGAACTTTCCTCCGGAAGTATCGACACAAAAGCATCGGATTTACTTTGCAGTACCTTAGATCCGAGTCTCCATTGTACTGTCGATGTCACGCAATGCATGTGCCGGGTCTCGATGATGGTCATTTCAAAGTACCTACCCTGACCCCGCGGCCCTACGTTCTGTTTTCCCAAAATCTGACAAGAAACGCAAGCCCCCTTGCCCGTGATTTGGTCCTGAATATTTGGTTTTTAGGGGCCCTGGCTAACCGAATCCGAAAGCCAAGAACCATGTACATGTATGTGCGCAGCGTATTCGCATTGCCCGATGTCACCAAAGTTCCAAAGAGGCTGACACACTGCTCTCCGACCGCACCGCCTCGATGACAGCGAGGCTGGTTCTGTACGTTCAAACACGTCAAATAGCAGGTGCAGATTTTTCCTGTATGAGAATCATGGTTTCGACATGTAATGCACGCCCTATTCTAGGGCGCCCGCCGCCATCGGCCGCTATTTGTCGATCAAGATCTTGCCGTTGGTCAAACGCGGATTCCAGATACGCATTACCTCTTTTGAATCAAGTGCTGACACTTCCGTGCCACCCATTGTTCCCCGGGGCCGGCTTCGTCATACCACACAAACCACACGCAGAGAGAGATGTTATTGTCTCGATGGCAACCCCGCTTTCTCGAGAGACGCGGTTCTAGCTTTAGTTCTTCCTGTGTGATATGGGGGTGCATTAAACCTTGGAAATGAGCGCCCCAACTTCCCCCAGAAACACCCGATGGTGGATTATAGCTTCTGTCACCTTGGTTCCCTCAGATTCAGCCGTACACATAACCCGGCACTTTTTTGCGGTCTGCTGCAGGCAATTTGCAGGGGACTGGGTGACGTGTTGAACCCATTTGTGGTACATAGACTAGAAAGGCACGAATAGTATAGCCCCCCGCCCCTGGATCGTTTCTGAACAAATCGAGTAATTGTCTCGGAGGATATGGGGAAGTACAGTCGTTTGAACAAAGGTGAGACGTGCTGCAATAAAGCCAAAAAGAAAATGGTTCCTAATGGAAAGTCCGGTTCACAACTTGTTATCACAGTGCATCGGGTAAACCAACGAACTATAGGAATATCTTGAACGTGCAGGGGCAAACCACAAAATACAGAATTCCACCAAGCCGGTGCCCTATCGACTGTAGGCCGCTGGTACGTGACCGGTGTGCCGGGGACGGATCGCTTGGCATAAGAATAGCCTTGATGCAACCTGTTGGTCTCCATGCGAAGACAGGATCGGGGTGTCCAACCATGTGTATTAGCCATGTGTATCGCTGCCAGGTCTCATGATGCTCGCAGCACCTTGCCAGAGAGCCACGTGTTCTGCATCAAGCGATCGTCCCACCAGTCCCCAGCCGCCGTCAGCCCACGGGCAATCAATTACACCTCGTGGGCATTTTATTATAGCGCCTACCAATGTCGACGATAGCGGGATCAGAACGTGAGAGTGCCTTTGGGGAAACAGGGCCAATGGGCTGGGCCTGATTGAACAGGCGTCATCACGCCACGGAGATCTATGCATGCAAGCAACGTCCACCCTCGTGACACGGAATATGACATATCGACTTGCGTAGGGCTGTAGTGCCACTGCTCAACGATCCTCAGAGGTTCGCAGGGCCGATCTTAAGCGACGCGCTGACGAGATATTCGGTAAGGGGGCACGACAGGAAGGGTAAGCATGGCCCTGCTCGATCGCGCCAAGATGCTCGCGTGTATTATGTGCATGTCTTACGTGCATTAAGCCCTTCTGGGCGGGGCCAGAATAAGCGGCGGTGCCATCAGCCCCCGTCCGTGGGACTGCAGTGCTCCCCCATCAGGAGACTGCCTCGGCGTTGTGCGACCATGTCATGTCTGACTGTTGTGAGTAAGCAGATGAGTGCACTCGTCAATGCTACCCAATAGCCAAAGAGGGCAGGCCAACCGTCGAGAGCGGGCCGGCATCCTCTCTCCCGGGAGGATTGATAGGCTATGTGTGAGTGCCATTTGGGGGCCGACGCAGACTTGTCTTGCATTCGGCCCCCATGGTCCACTCCCGGCCCCCGACCGGTGGATAATTTCAGGCTCCTCACGGAGTCTTTGCTGTTCTAGTGGCGCTGTGCAAACGTCGAACGTGTCTTAATATGCCGAGTCATCAAGTCGTTGCTTGGACCAAGCAGCCTCTTGTGGTTGATCGCGATGGATGATGAAATGGAGACGGAACGTAAACGGACGCTCGACTAGGGTACCTCCATGTGACTCATTTTGGAAGATACCAAAAGGCTCGTGATAGGGGACCCCCTGCGGAAGTTTTGATTCTATTTCTGTGTTGAAAAGTCTCGTCATGCTACGATGTCTCAATCTGTGCAATAATTAGCCCACCAGTCTCAGAAAAGTCATTTCCAGCATGAGTTGCCAACAGCGGCATAGCATGCGTGGGACACGTTAAGCGGCCAGCATTAGGTACGAACCGACATTATTTCTCAGCTTTGTACATAGAGAGATTAGCTTTTGCACCGCGGTGAAGCTCTTGCACGTCCGTCTCGAGTGGACTCTTCAACAAAAGGATGTCACGATGGGGTCACTTAAAGAGATTGCTGGTGATTTTCACTGCCGTATTGAATCAAGCTAGCTACCAAGAAGGAAAGTGAGAAAATTGTTGATGTCACTCCTCCCGAACTTCCCTTTCGCAATGCCGGTTTCTTCAAAGACTTCAATCTCGTGCACACACATCCAGAAATGCTCGGGAATCGCCCTAGAGAGCTTCGCCGCTTCTTTTCGTCCCAGGTTGCTTGAGAGGGATCCCTCGCTCTTTAAATAACCTCTTCTGGTCATCGATGACATCCTCCAAAGTCAAGGCTAAACGCTGGTGAATACTCGCTGCGGCGACGATATGCTTGCAGTCCCGAGCGCTGACCCACACCACGAATTCGTCATCGACTTCTTGAGTTAGGTCAAATCTGATACGCCAGGTCAAGTAGAGTTTCCCGCGGTGCACGGTATACATAATGTTGTATTCTGCAGGCGGATATAGCTCCTCCCATCCGGGCTGCTTCAGTGCACGTAACGCCGCACTGTCTCTTGCCTCGAATTGATCGCAAAGGCCTCTCGTCGGCTTGTCGTCAAATTCGCCTCTGTACAAAGTTCCGTTCGTCTCGACAGTCGTTGACCCATCGTCGAGTTGGACCTAGCCGCATGCTTGTTAACGTCTTCTTCCTCTCCGTGTGCACAGAAGTTCATTGCATTCGCGGAAAACAGATATAATAGAATGATGCCTGTGGTTGAGGTATATATGCCGGCTGGAAGGAACAAGCTATCAACATACCCATTCTGCCTGCATAAAAGCATCTTCGATGGGAACCATCGTTTCCAAGTTCACCTGCTGGTACAAGACAGATTGATCCGGGATTAAGGTGCGCACGATAATGAACCTCAGGTCACTTATTACGGGCGAATAATCAATTTGAAGATCCCAGCTCATTAGCCCAGAGGTTTCCGAGACCTCCGGTTTCTCATTCCAATCAATTTCTTCATCAGAGATTTCCCGAATTTTGAACGGTTTGATGATTCCATCTTTTCCCGTCGCACCCGTAACCTTGGGAGGGCCAGTCCGGCTGATGACGGCGGGTTCACCAGTAATCGGAGGAAATTCGCTGATAGCGACCATTATGTCTTCCCATTTGACGTTGAGAAAAGGGGGCCCGGCCACTGCGAAACGAATTGTCAGGGCCCATACTGCCCATGCCAGAGAGGGTGACATTGAAAACCGCTTAACGTGGTGCTTGATCTGAAGAATCAGTATATTGAGAGGCCGAATGAAGAGCCAGTGAACACCAAGAAGACAGGTGAGCGAAGTAATATGAGTCCAGCGCTGTGTAGTAAGACAACAAGTAGCTTGAGGCTTTCAAACCACCGGTCCGTGACTTTGTGGGAGCTAAGCCTGGCCAGTATGTATCGAAGACTTTAAGTGGAATGTCGCGGTTACCAGTGCCCAACCCGTATACTTGGTCATATGAGCACATTTTGGGTTCATATTTGGTGCCATAGCTTCGAATTGGGCATCAGACGCTCTATATTGATTCACGTATATTAAGCGCAAAGACTGTGGGACTTAGTTAACGTATGGGCTGATGTCCAGCCCGATTTACCACGACACTAAGTACGAAGAGGTATACGTCCAGGTGTCTTAAAGAGCTCGTCTACTTCTCCTTCTCTCATACCGTGCGTCAATTTCATGGACGCATCCCAAATCATTATGGAATTCTTAGTATTAATCGACCAGGTATTAACGTGCAGGTCCACTGATAGCTCAGTCTTCCTAAGTGGCACTGGTCGTGTTACCCACGTGCCTGCCGAGCCATCGCTCTCACATGACCAATGTGTTATATCCTTAGAGCATTGCGCTGACGGGCTCTTCAATTGTGTCCTCCAATATCTTTGTCTAGCTCGTCTCCGAGATGCGAATGGATGGTCGAGTCCTTGCGCTCTCGTGGCTGTAGCATCCGGTGCATTTTTTCTTTGGGGGCCATAAAAGACAGAACCAGGGGTGTTGCTGGAGCGAACATGCTTTCTTGCTTCCGTGTATATCGGCCAAGCTGCAGGAAATGGTGACTGGCCCAAGCAAGAAACACGGCTTTCGATTTGGGCTTTACAGCTATAGGATTTGACAAGTTTGGGATGAAGAAGCAGCATGAGAAAGCGACGAACAGACATTGTTCATTGTCGGAATGACTATAGAGCTGTGAATAATCACTATGGTCTCACAGGGGATCCAGGTGGGTAGAAGGCTGTCTGGCGCAATAATGGAACTCACTAACAGGAGATCTGTTTGAGGATCGACAAGTCCCATTGCGAAGAATTGCAGGCAGTCTTTGACCCCCCGGAACGTGGAGTTTGATAGTAGTATATATATTAAAGTCAGACCTCGATACCGGTGCTGGGCACGCCAGAACGTGGTCCAGCGGCTGTATCACACTCTTTCTTGTCCATTCAGAGCCTGGTTTATTTCCGATATTTGGCGTGCCAATTCACTGTGTAACACAGACAATGAAATAGGAATGATCAGACCTGAATCCTGGCACCAGTATCTGTTCCATGGGACTACTCCATCCTGACCTCGCTTAATCGACTAACTGCATGGAGACGAGGACATTTCAAGCGCTGTGAACGGGCGCATGAGCCATGTGATCTCGCTCCCACTCTAAAGTTATGGACACAATCGTCTAGCCATTGCAAGAGTGCGAACCTCTCGAGCTTACATGCCCCCATCGCACCGGACTCGGGCGCGGGCGATTGATTACACAGCACTGGACACTCCACGAAGTGGAGACTAAGAGACAGTCTGTCTGACAAAAGGTCCCACGCTATTACTTAGTGCGCAGCAAAGCCGCAATTTCTGACTGTCTATCGAGAGACCAGGCAGCTACACAAATTCCGAATCCATAGTCAGCCTTACACAATGGGCCTAGTTTTTTGCGGTTCGTCGAAGGCTCGCTTGCACTGCCGAGGTTCAACACCCTGACGGACAACCACGACATTTTCCCAGGAAACCCAAAAGTCCCCCCCGTTCCGCCCCCCAGCTCAGCTCGGAGAGAAATCCGCAGTGGAGCCTCCTCCCCTTCCCCACCCGCATGGTCCTGACGAATCGCATGGCGGGCGTTACACCCATGCCAGCCCCTCAGGTACCGGTACGGGCAGCAGCAATCACACATGGCTTTTTTTCAGCCTTGCAACAGAGGGATAGGGCGGGCAGGGCCAGATGTGGGACGCGTCGGCAGGCACCCCCACTGGGAAATTCACAAGGCCAGGGCGGGGAGGAGGGAGGGGGTCCAGTGAGTGGGGAGCGAGGGCTGCTGGGTGTGATTGCTTGCTGGGCGTGCGTGCTGGGGATTGCGGCAGATCAGGGGGGGGGGGCCAACACTGGCGTTGCGTTGCGTTTGCTGTCAAAGGAGGAGGGCCGGGTCCCACACCCAACTGTACTGACTCGGTGAACACCCGGGTAATGGCCCCGTCCGTGTGTGCGTGTGCGTGTGTGCTGCCAGGCAGGATTCCGTCCGAGATGAGGAAAACGCACGGCAGCTAGAGAAAGGCACCGGTCCCCACTGGCTATTGAGTGGGTGGAAGGTCACCACTGGCTAGACTGGAGGGCTCATCTTGTCCCCTTCCACCCTTTCCCGTCCCCCTGGTAATTGTTTCGCTGTTCGGCGTCTTGGCCGCCAGGGACGGGCTCCGGAAGCGTCCCTGGATCTCTCTGCTGCATCCACCTGCGCAACACGTAATACGTGTATCGATTGTCTTGCCCTGGTGAGGGTGGATGAAAGCAGATGAGGAGGGAGCTATTGCCTCGCCGTGCCGGGCGCCCGGAATATTCAGCGCTGCGTGCCCTTCGCGTACGGAATATAGTACTCTATGAGCAAGCAGCAGGGCTCTTCCGACTGCCCAGCCCGCCCCGGTCCGTCTCGGTGTAATTTGGGGGTGGGTGTGAAGGGGGCCCGGCAGGGCAGGCTCTGGGTGGTGCGGTTTGGGGGACTTTTAACGCCAGATAAAGTTGAGACGACCCGTTCCAGCTGTAACGTGTCGTCCGCCGCGGACTCGCACCTGGAGGCGAGACGGTTGGAGAGGGAGCAGATGTGCAGGGCGACACGCGGTGATCGACGGATTTGCCCTGCGCGCTCAAGCTGTCATCAATCTGGCGAGAGGTGCACGGCCGCGGGCTGAAGATCTGCCCTCTCCATCCCCATTTCCAGCCTCCAGGCTGCCTGGCATATCGCGTGGTCGGCTCCGTAGCTGGGTACGGACTACACCCGAAGCAGTAAGATTCCTCGAAATGTGGTCAAGATTTCAAGAGTCTAATTAGCGTTTATTAGCCCTTGGGCAAGTTTAATCCCCGTCCATCTCCCATCGTAATGTCAGGACCGCCATATGGGAATCGATACCGGCGGATTGGGGCCGGAGATGACGTTTGCTGGTAGTCTCCGGCTGCTTCAGTGCAGCAGTGCAGATGCTCAGGCCCCTTCGGGTAAATTGGGCAACGTTTGGACTCGGAGACGAGTCGGCGAGTGAGGTGCTGCCGGGCATTGGATGAAGAATGATCCCTTGCATGGCGCTAGAAAGCTTCTGGAAGCCTTCTGGAAGAAAACTTTTGATTTGCACACCCCTTCCTGTCCAGTAAGCTGTGCCTAACCGGTCGCCGCCGTCCTTGGCGATGGGTATTATTTTTACAAACCTCAGCAGCTCACACCGTAGGAGAGGCGACTTCGGATTGCTTACAGTGCTTACAGCAATCCGCCTCACCATCAGCTGGCGCATAGAACTGCTGTTCTCGTCATTGGCGTGGTCAAGGGGCGTCGACTAGCCCAGCTGAAGACTCGTTCGTGCATGGTTATGCAGGAATATACAACAAGTAATGATTATATTCTCGTGGCTGGTGATAATGCTGCTACCTAATGCCCAGCACTGCCGGCTTCTCAGGGGGATCGTCGCGATGATCACATGGTCCCCCGACAACGCATCCGACGAGAAGGCCCGCCACTTTGCTCTGCCGTACGGGTATCCACCCGGTCGGGCTGGCGGAAGGAGTGTCGTTGCCACCATAGGGGCACAGGGGGGTGCTTTGTCCAATCAAGGCTGCAAAGTAGGCAATGTCGATCTTGACTGGCTATTGCTGGCACCTTCAAGGTCTGATCATCATCAACCGCCGTCTTGATTCCTCGCCCGCCGTTGCATCCGCCTGCTTTTTGATGTTATTAGTTTGGTTGTTTTGCATGGTAGCAGTGGAGTGGGTGAGTCGCTCCGGATGCAATTGGGTATGATCGCGCTGCCTTCATGACTCTCGAGAGATTCCCGATGCCTTTCGGCCATCAGCGTGCCATGGCTCCCGGACCAGAAGGCGGCTAAGTTGATAGTGATTACTACTATTACCTCTAGATAGCACCTATATTCTCCGGTACCGACGTGTGCCTCAGAATGTAAGGGGTTCATCCCAGCTGAGGTGCAAACATCTCCGCTGGACTTCATCAAGGCGGCAGGCATGTCAGGCACCCTAATGAATATGTCGCACACCTCGAATCTGACCCATCTGGCCTGCCCACTCTTTTTTTATGTATCAGGTATAACATCACTGGGACTTATTACATACACAAAGTAGTGCCATTCGTGGAGAAGTTCACGGACCGGCCCTTTCGGGCCCCGAAGTCGAATCACGAGATCGTGAATTACCACCACCTGGACCATGAGCGCGCCCTGTTGTGTATCCACACCCGGTCCAAGAGTGGGAATCGTTCGAACCAGCCGATTCTCTGCATAATCTCTCATTGGAGTGATTGGTTGTGTTACGGAAGCGCTGCCAGCCGATGCAATCAAAAAACCTGGGGTCCGCGGGGGCGTCAGCACAGGTGCCGCCCTCGAATCGTCAGGTAGAGAGGCCGCATGGGCGACCACTATAGCGGATTGGACTGGAAGGGCGGGTGAGTGTTTGTCGCGCGCCTGTGTAACCAGTCACTAGACACGTGAGGGCTCGGTGTCAGCATATATAATACACACGGGCCAGATCGTTGAGCGACCGGGAGAGTGGTTGGTCAGCAGGAGATATTGGAAAACTCGCATGATACTCCCTGCGTGCGGCACCCTGTCGGCCTGTATAGGCATCTGCTTTTCCCTTGCGGAACA